GTTGTTGATGTATTCTGATAGCTTGAGATACCTGTCGGCTTCCGATCATCATATATCCTCAATAAGTAATGAATGATCAGCCTTTTGTCAGTGAACTCATCTCTTTATTGTGGCCAAAATGCGTAATGCTGAAATGTTAAGAAGCATTTATGAATGTTTTATGTTGGAATGATCATTGAATGAAATACGTGTTGATGCAGTAAAAGCTAATTAAATGAGTTGTTTACATGCAACAATGTCGTACGACAAGTTTTTTCAGTCCCTTTGAAAATGTTGGATAATTCGTACGGTTATAAAACCTAAAAAAGTAGTTTTGATGAATTTTTTATTCCAAGTTGGACTATTGGACTTTTGGACTATGTCGATGAGTTTAGAGCTGACCTTGCTTATGGAAAAGATGGTTTTGCTTCTTACACGTAGATGAAGAAAGGCCTCGATTCACGAACTCCACCACGATGTTCCAAAAAGGTTTTTTTGCATTTTGCAATCTCTGGAGCAAAATGTAAAAGATGACAGTCAACTGCAACAATATCTTCATCAATACTTTATCCAAACACTTTCCATATTTGTAAGAGCTTTTGCAGATTTTGTCAAGGTTCTTTGGAGGTCAGAGCAAAAGCTGCGAGTCGTTCTCTATTTATGTCAATCATCACTATTACAATTTTCCACGACAGAATGTTAGGATTGTTTATAATGTGCTAATCTGTTAAAATTCCGCTTTCGAATCGTCTTCGATGCAAGATCTAAACAAAATAACTACCAATGAATAGCCGAGGACCGATGATCTTAGGCGGGTGAAATAAAAATTAGAAATCGAATTAGATTAGAAACCGAAGATTTGAATAACGTAGCTCCAGCTATATTTGGAAATCAGAGTTCGAGCACAAATGGCAATGTATCCAACATGTGGTCTCAGTAAGATTCCACTTGCTAGAATTTTCCAGATGATCTAGCACCATGGTTATTCGATCCAGAGATGATATTCTGTCAGATTGAAAGAGCGGTGGTGTAACCTTTCGAAAGTAATGGAAAGAGTAACTAAAAGAATACAAGAACGAAACTGGATAACTTTGCCCGAAGGCATCTAGCATTGTTAACCCCTTTGAATCGAAGGCCAACACACTAGGCTGTTTAAAATGACAGTTTCAAGACAAAGACAAAAAAATTTATGATTATCTTTTTCTCTTCAGAAGACAAAGAGTGCTTCTTTTGGCTTTGATCCTATAAATCCTTCCTTTCCTTCTAATCCTTTTCGCTGGACTCTTCACCGTAGCACATCCAAACTTCAAATGTCGTAGACGTTGGATCTAAAACTATAGTTTCATGCTTACCCAAAATGCGGAAGAAATGGTTTTTCACCTGCTTCCATATTTTCCATTTGTGTTGCTTGACGAATCTTCGAACTAGCTCTTTCTTACTTTCAGGACTGCAAAAATCTTGTTTTAGTAGGGAGATTAAATGCATGAAGGAGTCCAGGCAGTCTGGACCTGAGCTTCCTAAACTGCATGCAGCACATGGGTTCAGCTACGCCCGAAAAACTTGTGAACCCTCGCTAACTACCGTATTGTTCTCCGCGCTGACCAATCAGCGCACTCTACTGCGGAGAGAAAGTCGATTGGTCCACGTAATAGGCAAGAGTTTGAAGTCAAATTTTTCTTTCGTGTGGACCATATGAGCTGCCAGTTGAGCACGAATTAGTTGAGGCTCCACTACCTACACAGCGAGTCGGTACAGATTTGTTCAAAGCTTGCATATAGGGAAAATTGACATACAGTGTATGCTCGTCGAGGATTTCGATGAAAGAATATCTTCGTGGTGCTGCGCGTAGTAATCTTGCTGCTTCTTTCACGTAAGCACAACGGTATTCCTGAAGGTGTTCTTAGAGTTTTCTTTGAGCTTAACGGTTTCCTAGTTCGACAGTATGCTGCCAATGTAATCATAAGGAAGCGTTCAAGCACATCCTATGAGACTGACCCATTTCTTGGATCCAAATTTTCTCTCAAACTGAAATTCCATCCACTCGTTCAACTCCCTATACGGCTTGCATTTCGGTTCAGTCCAAGGGTATCCAGCAAAAGTTAGTACAGCCAGTACCTAAGGCTCTAGATCATTCTCAGATGTTAAAAATGAATTAAATGCCGGGACTTACAGCGGATATTATGCACAAGCGTAACATCTGCCACTCCATTCCTAATGGAAAGGCTATTTATTCGTCCATCATTTACAAAAACTTGTAATTTACTCATTGGGAGTGCTGCTTATTAACTTTGTGCACTCATCAGTGCAAGTCACCTTACGAGTTATTAATCAACCAAACTTGTAATCAAGATTGGAATTCACCACTCACATCCTGAAATTGTTTACAATTCTGGTTAATACGCTCAGTTTTTAACTTCAAAAAGGCTAGTGCGGACTTTTTTAACACGAAAGTGCAATGAATCTGGATTAGTTCTCACGTAGTTACGGCTTTTACATTCATAGCATTGTAACACATCATTTGTCTGCTCTACATCTGCGATTCCCAACTTTGGTTCGATAACTGCTAGTCGAATGATGGTCCCTACATTCATTTGCTGCCGTGGCCACCTGAAGACAACCTCCATATTAAGTGTAAGGCTAGATTACTTAGGATGCTGATTAAGTTATCATTACCCAAACGGCGGTTAATATCTATTCCTGACTGAGAGGTAAACTCTAACCCTCGCCCAATACGGTAGTCGAACTCTAGAGTATTATGCGTGATTTGAATTTCTCGGCAACAAATACATTTAGTGAGCTGAACTTACGAACATCACTTAAAGACTTCCCAATCAGCTTCCACATACAAAATTCAGCTCAACAAATCTGAGTCCACTTATCTCTGTATCCTCCCTGTAGAGCAAACCTACTTTTACTTTCCCTTCAAAGACGTAAGCATCTTCTAAATCGAATAAACTAGGTAATGTGT